TTCTTGTTTCTATGCCATTCCAGTTAAGTTGACTATGCATGTGGGTTCTATGAGTCCTCATTTGATCGCATAAGGTAAAGCACATTGATCAGTGAAAGTACATTGATTTGTGTGGGTGAGTTGCTCAATAAATGGCAAGAAATTAAGATTGAACAAGTTCAGACCATAAGTGTTCGGATTTGTCATGAACCTTGTCTTGTGATTATGGTTATGACAAAATTGACGTGGATAGGAACACATACACCATAAAATCTAAGTGACATAAGGTTTCTCTCCGCTTCATAAATATGATTGTGAGGAAACGCTTTCGCTAAGTGGATTTTAAGGTATTAGCAGTTGTGATTGCGTTCTCAAATTCGAGTATGATTACAACATCCCTTTTCATAGTTCGAATTGTGAGAAATGGCAAATAGTTCGAAAATTCAGACTTCAACACACACTTGTGCTATCTAATGAATGGTGTATGAGCTTGAGAAGTCTAGATAAAGACTTATCGAAGCACCGCGTATCAGAAATCTGAACTTTGGTATGAAAGTCAATATGTATTGATTTCTAGAAGTCCAACTGATTTCTGGATACATGTCAAAGCTAGTGGGAGCATAAGTGTTATGCTAGTCAAAATGTAATTATTATGCTACTGGGAGCACAATTATTACTTTAAGTGTTGCAAGTTAGCAATGCTATTTATAGGAAAAAAAAGTTTTAAATTTGCAAAGTTGCAGAGTTGTTTCGCTATAGAAAGTCTAAGGGAGAGGAACTTATACTTCATTCAAATCTAAATGCTTAGATTCAGATTTTAATAGAATGTAGTCATATACATGCATGAATGTTATGTTGAAATGTTCTAACATGAGGAAATTTTGTGAATGGAAATAATATAACAAGAGATTCGTAAAGTATCATATCTTTGTTATGAATTGTATCCCATATGCTTCATGTATAGGATCAATTGCATATGTTATAATAATCATCTGCTCTAATTTTCCAAATGCCTAGGGCATTAAGAGGGAAAAGGACCAGAATTGGATATGATTAAAATTGTTAAACAACTGTCAAGGACAATCTAAGGTTTACCGAAGATTGGTTGCTTGTGGATAGTTGGAAGTATAGTAATGGATGGACCATATTGATATAACTCTGAATAGATAGAATTCAATTAAGAATAGATATTCATATAGCAATATGGAAATGTTTTCATTATGGGAGTTGGATATTGAGAATCTATGTGTAGAATTAGAAACTTTTATGCAAAAAGGATGTTTAAAGGATTATACTTTGAATTTGACACTTCGCTTCCATGGAATTGTTTAGTTATCAATCTCAAATGGAAAGTTTTGTAATTGACAAAGTCTCTGTGACTTTGGTGCCTTAACATTACAAAAGGATCATTGCATGATAGTTTAGAATCTAACACATTCTAATAGTGGCAAGAGTTTGGTATTCTTACACTTATAATAAGGATTTTGGAATTGTGAAATGAGCATCATTGGAAATGTGTTCAATTGATCTATTTCACAAGGTAAGGACCATAGGAAAACATAGTGTTCATGCTTGGAGCATGGGATAATTGTTGTTTTTAATTCAAGTATTGGATTGATTAGTCGAAACATTATACAATGAATAATATGTAATCAATATGGTGATTATATAAATAATTGTTTTATTTATATTCAAAAGTTTTGAGACCATATTAGATTATTCTTGTGTTTCACTTTGCATGTTTTAAATTCCCGAATAATAAGATTATTCAAACATCCACAGTCAATCATACTTTGGAAGTAAGTAATGAGGTAAGACTTTCATGAATCCGAATGTAGATTGTCTAAGTGTTTAGACATAGCACAAATTTGCTGCAGTGTTCATGAGTATTCCTTTAATTAGATTTGAGTAATGGATTAAACCCACGCTCATCTGAATCACTTCATGGATTTTATCACAAGTTATTGTGAGACGATAGTATCTTATATTCTCGAAACAGAGACATATGAGTTGTAGTTTGCAAGTTGGTTGCACATTGATGATGCGTAAACGAACCAGTAACTTGGTGTTATAAAACGTATTATTGTGTGTGATTTGATGAGTAAGTTGAGCAAGCATATGAGTTGACGTTTATATGTTCCTTTTACCCAATGTGGTATAAAAGCGATATCTGTGGGCCCCTCGATGATTTAGTGGTGACACTCTAAGCGCTTGGCCAAGCCTGGACTAAGTTGATGTGTTCAGTTATAGTCTGATTGTCAGTCGTCATAAGTCGGAAATCGGGAAACAACACATGGACAAGGAGAATGATTATAATCCATGTCTTAGTCCATACGATATCTTATAGAATGGAGGAATATTTGATCCTTATCTAAAGGATGCAGTTCTGATATCATCAGAGTTCGACAACGACTTTTGAGAGCTACGATTGCTAATCCGATTTTGAAGTTACATTGGCAGTTATAGTTATTAGACTTATCCAAGTGGGAGACTGTTGGATTAGGTGTCTAAGCCCATAACTATAATTGGTATGTACTTGACCCGATAGTAGCATGGTCCTTTTGGGTTTCCTTCATCGGAACAATTTTATAGGATGGATATTTGAGAAAGTGGTTATTTGTGATTTATTAATATTATAAGAATAATATATTAATTGAGAAATCATATTATTTAATTGGTATTGGTCAAGAATTAATTTGGAATTAATTTAGTGATCAAAAGAGACTGATTAAATTAACGGGGACTGATTAAGTAAATCAATAATACATATAGTTTGGGCTAATGATCCATGTTGATTAGGATAGACTAATTTTATGTGGGAGTCCATGAAGAGTTAGTACAAATGGCTTATCATATGGATTATTGCACTAAAGGCCCAAGGAATTGAATTAGGGTTCACAAGTGAAACCCTAGGAATTCCACACAATAAATGTAACCCCTTGCATCACCAAAAATGCCCCCTAAGAGTTCCAAGAAGAACCCTAGCCATTTTGTGTGCCTCCTAGGCTCTCTCTCATTATCCTCCATTTGCTTTTGGTATTTGTAACTTATTAGAGGCATCATATTTGAGGTGCTAAGCTCTTCAAAGGTCAAGTTTTACAAGCTACAACAAATAGGTATTCATCTAACTAGTTTTCTATGTTTCAAATATCAAAGTTGTATGCTAGTTGTAGGTTTCATGCTTTGGATAATTTTATTGCATGTATAGCCTGAGAAAACTTAGATCCAAAGCATTAGGATTGTATGTGCACCATAGGGATGTTATAGTGCTCAAAGCCCATCATGTTTTGATCGTTGGTTTGTGATATTTCATGTTGGAGATGAGCTCTCAGTGAGGTGGTTCAGGTTTGGGTTCTGGCTCAGGTGCGGGTGTTGAGCCGATTAGCGAGAAGTTGTGGGAGTTCATTTCATCAGAAATTTCTTGCTGTGTTTTGTAGATATTAGATGAGAACTTGGGCGCGTTCCGTGCGGAGGTTATGACTATCATTGGAGCTTGTACTCTATCTTTCCAGGAGTTCCATAATTATAGATCTCATGTGCTCCATGGGGAGAGGGACCCCGTTGTCAGTAGGAGGTGGTTAGCGGATATGGCTAACGCATTCAGGATGTGTTTCTGCCGCGAAGAGGCGAAGGTCAAATATGTTTCCTGCGTATTGAAGGACAGAGTACGAGATTGGTGGGAAGAGGTTTGTAATGAGTTGGGTGATGATGCTCACTACAAGAAAAAGAACCTTTTACGATGCACAAACCACGACACTCATTGATGTATGTTACGCAAAAGAGAGTGACATTAAAAAAGTGTCATATCTTCAACAAATTTAAGGATTTAGGTCACGCATTATTGCGTGCCCTTAAATTAGTGTCTCATGTAAAAAAAATTAAAAACACGGAAGGCACTTTATCTAAAATGTGCGTCCTCTATGAATGTCATTTTATATTTTTTTTTTAAGAAAAGCGCGTCTCTCCTATTAGAGGGAAAATGAAATCCCCAAAAATTTTAAACCCCACTTTCTTTTTCTATATTCGTTTCGATCTGTTCTCTAATATCTCCTCTCCTTCGTCTCTGCCCCTCACCTACCTCCACTACCTCCAACCCACATCGACTCTTCAGGCCTGCACGACAACGATGTACCGGCCTTATCGACCAACACTTCATCCACCATCACCATTTGCAGCTCTCTCACCCCATCCTCAAGGAAACCGACTAGCTAACCCTCACGAAAACGAAAACGAAAATGACCTATGATTTGGATTATCCGATCGGTGTAAGTCCCAAAGGAGAGGCTCTACTTCTATCACCAATAGCGTCCTCCAACCCTCTCTTCTCATCACCACTCCCTCTATCCCCACTCAGATCCCACACACCGCTGCCCCTAACCTTCTCCTTGAAAACTAAAGCAACGCTCGATGATTCTTCCTCTACCGGTGGTCCTACCTCCGAATCACCCGGGACTAAAATTTTCGAGAACCGACTCTCGTAGGTACGTCTGCGTTATCGGAGTGGCATAGGGAATAAAGTCGACGCACAGAAAAGCAAGAAGTCCGGGAAGAAATCCAGTGGGAGTTCAGGATCTAGGGCAAACATGTACCTCCCACCGGTGCCTTTGAAGGAGCCGATTTCAGTTTGAGTGAAAGTGGATTTCGGGTTCAACCCTTATTCGGAGAGGATGAATGGGTGGGTGGGGCCCTGATAATACCATACGCCGTCGATCATTTTTATTCAGGTTTATGAACTCATCATTTTTCAGCTTTCATCATTTTTATATGAATTTATATGAAATTTTCTTATTTATTTCCACTACAAGTGCTCAACATCTTCAACAAACAGGTCATAAATTAATTAAACTGTGTTTTTGTATGTTAATAAGAATAAATTGACGAGACTAATTTGGTTTGTTTCATGCATGATACATGATACAGGTTCTTAAGGTTTTTCCATACCCAATGACAGTGACCACGTGTAAATTTGGGTGTGGGACTGTGAGATTGTACCTGTGGTAATGTTGGCAGTGGCACACACAATGGGAAACCTTTTGACGAATATAAGTCTTGGAAGAGTTTCGGTTTCATTCACTTACACAATTAAAGCCATGGAGCCATTTTTTACTGTTCTCTTTTCTGCCCTTCTACTTTCAGAGGTCAGTAAAGGCAATTAAGATTCATTTGATCTTAATTCTCCTAATTCTAATTCATATTCTTAATCTAATTCATAACTCGATTTTTAGTTTTGATTCTTTTTTAATGATGTTATCTGCTCCTTAATGGTAAGCTAGACACTTATAATGAACAAGCTTCAATTTTTGACTGTCATAATTAGTGTTTTGCTTACCATTGAAGTCAAAACTTAATGATATCTATATGCTTGTGTATAGACCATAGAGTGCACTTACCTTTGAAGTTTCATATAGTATAGATTTTTTTTTTCAATTTCCTTCAAAGAAGGTAATAGTGGATCATGTAGTTATTTTGAGAATAGTATTTTCTATTGATTTGCATGTTTTAGGATTACTATACTGAAATTCAAATGGATTTTACTTAGGCAATAACAGGGATGTTTATCATGTTTATATGGGTTAATCAAATGAAAACAAAGGTTTTGTAGCTTAAATGCATAAATTGGTTTGTTATTTTCATGCACCTAAACTTAGCCAGAAAAACATGTTAACTAATTTAGTTAAGTAAGTAACAACTTTTGAAATAAATTTCATGGCAATGTAATGGTTATTTTATATGAATATTTTTTTTGTGGGAAAGATATTCTAATATAATATATGGATAGACATTGAATCGTGCATAGTTGGTAGGGATAGACATTGAATCGTGCATAGTTGGTAGGATACACATTGAATCATGCATAGTTGGTAGGGATGATACAGTCATATTAACTTACATCTCAAGGTTAATAGATTAACTTTGTAATAATCTGTAGTTGCCATGCGGAATTGGATTCCAATTTCTGCCAAATCCCATGGAGGGTCATTATGAAGTTGTGATCAGCTTATCTGAGGGTGTATAAATCTGTCCATGTCAGTTATAATCTCATCTTCGTCTAATTTTCTTGTCATTTACTATTATATTCTTACAGTTGTAGCTTCAGACCCAGAAGATGATAAACTTCATGATGATATTAAAGCTGTAGAAAAGCATACATCTTTTCATTCAGCCATATCAGAACTTGCAGGTCATTTTGATGGGGAATCTATGTTGTTCTTGCAGAGATTTTTTCGCACAAGAGTGAAACATGTAGTATCCATAGGTTCCTTGAAGCTTGATCTTGCTCTTGGAATTGGAGGATTACCAAACGTAATTAGTAGCTTCTTATATGGTATTAGCAAATTACACACATACATAATAGTTAATCATTGTGAACCCTTGAATAATAACAACCAAACTGTACACTACAGGGAAGAATTGTTGAGGTTTATGGGCAAAAGGGATCAGGCAAGACAACACTTGCTTTGAATGTAAACAAGGAAGCTTAAAAGCTTGGAGGTGCGTTCCAGTGTTCTTTAATTCCACATATAAACAATGCTGGTGTTTCACATTTTATGATGATTAGAAGTTATTTTTGGTAGGTTATTGTGATTACTTGGATGTGGAGAATGCACTGGACCCACTGCTGCTTGAAACAATTTGTGTAAATACCAAAAGTATTCTCATCTCAAAACCAAATTCTGCTGAAAATTTGCTAAGTATTGTTGACACTCTCACACAGAGTGGAGCAGTTGATGTGATTTTCATCGACAGTGTAAGGAAAAATCTTTGCAAAAGACATGAATGCCCTCCTCTCTTCTTCATCAAACTCACCCCTACAAATCTTTTGTCCAATTGTTGTCTTGTTTTTCTAATTCATTGACTTTATTTTTATAGGTTTCTACACTCATCCCACAACGTGAAATTACAGGTGTAATAAGTGACAATATCATTGAGACACAATCACGAATAATGACACGAGCACTTCGTAAGATTCATTATTATTTATATCGTTCAGATACTCTTATTATATTTATAAATCAAGTTAGTATATTATATATAGCTATAAAATCAGTTTAAATAGTTTTAAATATGTCATAATTTACTCTTGTTTTTAGGTGAGATCAAATTTGAGATCACGCCAAGAGGGACTTAAAGTAAATGAGGTGACATGTGGTGGAAACGCCTTGCTATTTTATTCAGTTGTACGGATGAGAACTGCTAGAAAAGGATTGCTCAAGACTCAGGAAAAGGTTTAAAATAATAATAATTGTTTTATTATAATGATAATGATAATAATAAAAGGAAATTTATCTATTTTCAGATTACTGGTCTTGGTATATGTGTGGAGGTGGTAAAGAATAAGCTAGCACCTGCTATGAAAAAGGCAGAGCTGGAGATTGAGTTTGGAAGAGGCATATCTCGTGCATCTAAGGTGCTAAAATTGGGTTGTGAACATGGGGTTGTCTTAAAAGAAGGAAATAGTTACTTCATAGATGGAGAAGTTATCAATGGTAAGATGCAAGTTGAAACTTATTTGATTCAGAATACAATAATTTGTGATAAGTTGGTAAAGACTCTACGAAGACACTTGTTTCGAATTGCACAAGATTCTGAATCATGATACAAATACTTCAGAAAGATTGATGAAAAAATAAGTTGCAATTTGTTTGACATGCATTGTATTAGGGTATTGTTTATTCCGGGAATATTTCAGTCATTTAGTTATTCTTGGCAAACTACTAATAAGATGCATTTATTGTATGTTAACTTTTAACTAATATATTTTCCGAATTTTTTTAGTTACTATTAGTCTTTGTTGATTTTTAACTAAAATATATTGCAAATAATTTCGAGTAGTTCAGGTGGTAATCCAGAGTGACTCTTCTCATTATCTTTTGTATGCTTTCACACCTTCTCATCCTTCAGGTGGATTTTTTTTAGCTATGCATTTTGATTTAAGGGTTTATGTCACATTTGATATTTTACTAATTACGCTTTTATGTAGGGAGTAGAAAAAGGGGAACACTTTGCATGACACTCATTGGTTTTCTTTTCTGATTTGAACTGCTAGACACTCTCCTGCAAATTCAAAAAGAAGATGACACAGGCAAGGAGTATCCTTTGTAAACATAGTATGCATACTTAGAGTATGGCATAATTGTTGTTTGGAAAAACATAGTGTACATGCTTGGAGCATGGGACAACTAATGTTTTAATTCAAGCATAAAGTTGATTAATCGAAACATAAATAATGAGTAATCAATATGGTGCTTAAATAAAAGGTGTTTTATTTACACTCAAAGTGTTGGGGCCATATAAGATTAGTATTATTCTTGTGTTTCACTTTGCATGTTTTGACTTCCAGAATAATTATGTTATGGTATATATCATATTATTCAAACCATCCACAGTCAGTCATATGTTGGAAGTAGATATGAATCAAGACTGTCATGAATTTGGCTTGTATGATTTGTCTAAAGTGCTTTAGACAAAGCAATGGTTGCTACAACATTCATGAGTACTCATAAGGGCTGAGTATTGGATTCAACCCACGCTCACTTGCATCACTTCATGGAATTTATCTCGAGTGATCGTGAGACGGTAATATCATATAAATCTTCAAACCTAGAGATATGAGTTGTTGACTATGAGTTGGTTATTCATTGATTGTACGAAAACGCATTGGTAACTCGATGTTATAAAACGTGCCTTTGTGAATAATTCAACAAGTAGTTAGTACAAGCATATCAGTCGAAGTTTATCTGTTCCTTCTAGAAATAGAAGCGATATCTGGGCCCCTTGATGATTTGGTTTTGACTCATGTACCGGGCCCGGTCAGAACCTAATTGATGTGTTCAATTTAGTTCTATGTCGAAACAAATCAGAGATCGAGAAACAAATGCTGGACAATAAGTAAGACCATGTTCCATGTTTTTGTCCGGCTGATATCATGAGAACAGAGGATTATATGATCACTTATCTTAAATGGCGTATCATCATCATCTCAGTTCCGAGAGACTTTGAAAGAGCTACGATTGCTAGTCGGATTTTGAAGTCATATTTGCAAATATAGTTATTAGACTTATCCAAGTGGGAGACTGTTGGATATAGTGTCTAAGTCCATAACTTTATTTGGTATGTACTTGACCCGACCCGGCATGGTCCATTTGGGTTGCATGACATTGCAATACTTGGATAGACTAAATGAGAGAATAAGGCACTTATGATTATTAATATATTATAAGTTCTAATATATTAATAATAGTATTATTTAATTAGTATTGATCAAGTATTAATCTAGTATTAATTTGGTGATCAAAGTGAGACTAATTAAATATATAGGGTTGATTATGACAATCATCAATTCTTTTATGGTGGATTAATGATCCATGGTTTATGGGTTGGGTTATAACCATATGGAGCTCCATGGATAGTCCATGGGAGTTACAAACCCATGGGTCATGGGAAATCAAGAGTCATGACAATTAAGGGCATTCATGTGTAAACCCTAATTGTGACAACACTATAAAAGAAACCCTATGGCTAGCAAAATCAAGACCTAGTGGACATAGTGTTACTAGAGAGGGCATAACCGATTTTGAGTGCTAGAAGTATTCTCTCAAGTTATTCCAAGTCTTGTGGTGTTGTGTGAAGCATTTGAGGCACAACATTTGGGGTGCTAGGCTCACAAAGTCTTGAAGGAATCCAAGCAACAACAAGGTATGTATTTCTACTAGTTTTATGTTTTATGTAATCCCCATGCCATGCTAGTTAGGAAATAACCTTGAAAAAGAAATTTTGCATGTATATAGAGAAAACATAGATTCAAGGTTATTAGGGTTGCATGTCCACTTAGGAAGTGTTAGAATGCTCAAAAACCATCAACGTCATATATGCATATCGTAAATGGTTGCTGAAGTTTATGACACGCAAATGCGTGTCATCTTCATTTATGACAAGGGGCTTTAATGATACGCAATGTGTGTCCTAAAGGCGCGTCGTAAGGTTACGACACGCAAATGCATGTCGTCTTCCTTTATGACAGGGCCTTCCTTGATACGCATTGCGTGTCGTAAATCAGCGTCGTAAATGCGTGTTGTTATTGTGCATCGTAAATGCGCATCGTAAATGCGCGTCGTAAATAGACGACGCACAAAAGCGTGTCTTCTCTCGTTATGACATGGCCTTCCTTGACACACATTTGCACGTCGTTTGAGCATTTTACAACACGCATTGTGCGTCTTAAAAGGCTGTTTTTCTAGTAGTGGCTGTTGATGATATGTCATGGGATGACTTCTCGACCAAGTTTCGAGCTGAGTTTGCACCAACAATTGAGGTACAATAGTTGGCGTGAGAGTTTCTAGATATGCGCCAGACTACTGAGACGGTGGCAGAGATCACTGCTAAATTCCGGGAGAGGGCTTTATTGGTACCGCAATATGCAGCAGATGAGGAGATGAAAAACGTGAGCCATGAGGTATCATGATATGCTGTGGGATGATATCAGGGAGTTCATGAGTATCTCGGGGTGCGAGACCCTGAATGATATGATCTATAGAGCCCGAGAGTGGGAGATTGATTTAGTACACATTGGGAAGAGGGGGTCGGATTAGGTGCAAACATTGGAGGGTCCCAGGAAGAGACCCAAGACTTCTGACCAGCGTTTGAGAGGCCAGCAGGGCCGGAGTCAGTGCTGCACGTGCGGGAAACTGCATGGTGGAGTTTGTCGTTCAAGGGGTTTGGGCTGCTACATTTGTGGCAGGGTTGTTCATGTCAGAAGGGATTGTCCTCAGGGGGCAAACCCATTATGCTTTCACTGCGATCAGGTGGGCCACAAGAAGGCCGACTATCTGATGTTGTCAGGAGGAGCAGTGAGTGCACCTGCTCCGGCTACTTTGAGGATCATTGATGGAAAAGAGGCTAGGGCAGGAGCCCCAGCGGGGATGATTCAGGCTTTGCAGTGTCAAACGACGTAGGCCAGGACTCCAACAGGCGATGATGCGGGCATGTATCTTTAACCTTCTGTTCGGTTTTATCTATATTTTATTGTTGGAATCATGCATCGTTTTGGATAAGCGTATCTCTGGTTTATTTCTCTACTTATGTTTGGGTTATATCTTCAAGAAATGTTATATTCCATTTGCATGCGATGAATGTTTAGTGGTTTAGGGAAGGGTTGTTTCATTTATAGCGGGTTTTGAGTGTTCGGTATGATATTGCTTTGTAGTCGAGATCGGTTCAAGGGCATTGTGTGAAAGGTTTATGGTCAAGATTCAGCGGGTTAGTTATCCAGTATCGCCAGGATTTAGTGGTTTTTTTAGCATTTGACCTTGGATTGGCTTTTGGGGGTGCCGAGGGAAGTGGTATCTTACTAAGTTTCTGGTTGGAATATCCATCCTATGGACTTCAAGATTTGAGTGTGATATCACTTTAAGTGTCTGGGGGTTAGCAGTGTTGCTGGGATTCGGGAAATGTCCAGCTGGTCTTTAGGGTTGTGCGGTCTTTTGGGATGGTTAGTGATGGATCATTAGCGTTGGTAAGTGCTGGTTATCAGCATATCTATCATTGGAGGGTAAAAAGGGTTGGGAATCCTTCCAACCTTGTGTGTTGTAAGAGTGTAGTCGAATCAAAGTGGGGGAGAATCGTTCAGGTATTCAGGAACAGAAGCGATTTTGAAACTAGGATGAGTTTCGCATCCCCGTCGGGGAGGAAGGCGACCCAAGTGGTTGTCTGGATTGAGGAGTGTGTGAGTTGGAAGTTCGGGAAACTTCCCAATGATGGGTTCATGTCTTCTTAGTGTCTGGTAGCAGGCTTTAGGGGACCCAGGTTGGAGTTCCAGTGATGACCCGAGTTCGGCGTGGCGTATGGTCGAGTGTATGCTCGACTCTGGGAGTGTTCGAATTGATAGATTAGTGGTAAGTCATCGGGTTGCGATTATGGTAAAGTGGAATTGTTGTAAGACTATAGGGTGGCCCGTAAAATTCACTAGTTAGCAGTTAGTGTAGAAGTATTGTAACACTGCGGGGTGGATCGTTGCATTCACTAGTGGTTAGTTGGTGTGGGGGTGTTGTAAGACTGCGGGGTGGCCCGTAGCATTCACCAGTCCCTGTTCAGCGGTGAGATTGTGGAAATTATGTTACTTGCTGATGGATTTCTTCAGATGGTTTAGGTCAAGGCGAGTCTAAGATGGTTTGGGTAAATATTGTCGGTCGAAGTTCTCTTTCGGAAGTCGTGTGGGGCGACAGTAAGGTTGTTCTTTGGCTCAGGAACGAGGCCGGAACCCGGTATTCCAGATAGTTGGCATATAAGTTGGGACCAGGGAGGTCTCGGTTACCATTGGAAAGCAGATAGGAGGCAACGTGATGTTTCAGGCAGTAGTAGTGATCTGGGGATTCATGTGTGTGGAGTAGCTTGTGGATCGAAAGTGCTAAGTCACTTGCAGTTTGGATTAAATAATCTCAGAGTAATTGATTTGACCCTGTTGCGCAACTCTCGTTTGAGTATAACCGCTGCAGGGATGAACCTTCTACTCTAAGGATTATCTGAGCCTTCTCTCAAGTATAAGGTGTTAGGAGCTCAGGTTGAGAGTTTGCTTGTCTGTTATCGTCTGATCGGGGGTGA